AGCAAAGTCTGAGTGGAAGCAAATATATTGACCATGTTTAATAAGCAAATACAGTCAATAAACAGCCATTAGTGTTGGTGACACCAGGACAGATTTCATAGCACGAAATGAGGATAGTAGATTATGCCTCCAACGTGATTTGATTCATTGATGAGCAGAAAGTTATTTATTATATTGATTAGAGCTGCAACAATTAATCGATTCCTTTTTAATTATTCTAATCTAATTATTCTGGCAATCAATTTTGTTAAGGAATTAAGGGGTAGAACAACACTGGTTTCCCAAGGTCGAGATTATCTTTATTTTGTTTTATTTTATTACAGACAGACTGGCTCGCTCTATGTAGAAAGTGTTGCTTGTGGCTTAAGTGACACACAATGTGTCTTGATTAAACAAATAACCTCTTCACACATGTATAGAGGGGTGAACAATAACCATATCTGGACTCTTAGTGAATCTCTGTAGGTCTAGGACGGATAAATATTCCCCAACAGGAAGTATCCTTCAGATTTGATGTTGGCATTTAATGTGTTCGTTGTTTGTCGGCACTGCATCTTATCGGCCCAGTGTCAATAAATCATGTTATCTGAACTCTCAGTCTCTGAAACTTCTTCATCACACCTAAACCTGGCTCACAATATTCAGTTTCGAGTAGATTAAGAAAAAATGTCTGATAAATCTCCAAATTATCTGATTTCTAGGGCAATGAATGTCATTTGAGCTTTGAAGCTTCGACAATTAACAGTGAATAATCGAAGCTTCGACGGCATTGTGCACGGTGTCCGCTACTGGTGGCGTTACCGACTGTGTTACGCCAGCTGTAATCGAGATACAGCTAGCCTATGTATTTCATATATTAAAACAGAACAACACAAGGAGGAGAGAGACTGGAGTTAGATAAAAAGAAGAATATTTGTCATTGTCATCAATCACTCCCACAGAGCTGAAGGCTTCATTGTTTTCCCTTTGATGTGAACGGGAGCGTCAAGTTCACTGCTGTGGGCAGAGGTCAGGCATGCAGAAAAAAAAAAATAAGACAAAATATTCTATATTCGAATCCCAAAACTGAAAATCAAATGTGTACCCAACAATCGGTCATTTGAATATTCAGGTCCAGCCCTACGGATTTCAGCTTCTCAAATATTTTCTGCCTTCATTTGGCCTCTATGATAGTAAAGTGAACATCGTTGGGTTGTTGACAAAACAATACATTTGAGGACGTCACCTTGGGCTTTGAGAAACACTGAACATTTTTCACCCTATTATGGACCAAACAACTTATCAATTAATCATGAAAATGACTGATGGGCCAACTGATATTGAAAATAATCAATAGTTGCAGCCCTAATATTGATCATTGAGTAAAAAGTTTCTCCCTTTATAAAATAAACAACATTTTGTTGTTTTAGCTGCATATTAAACTGAGTAAGGAATGTTGTTGTGGACCGAATTGTTTTTACCTTTGAGACAGTGGTTTTGTACATGTTAAGACATTTTTGTAAGAGATTACGATTAATGTAAAAAGACCACACATTTGCTTTATGTGCAGAGGACCATCTGCATCTGGACATATACGGAGTAAGTTTCATCACCGTGTTCTACTACTCCACCTGTTGCATTGAAAAATCCACAATTTATGAAAATGCAAATACGTAAATACAAACGTTTAACTACTGGACACAAAACGTCTCCATCCTGACCTGGAGGTTTCAGGTTTCCACATCACATGTGTTAAGTTGCATATTGAACCACGACTGGCTTTCAAATCAGCTGTGATATTACAAGTCCTGCTCGTAAATACACGTCTTCAATAAAAAGGAGAGCTCAGAGAAACTTTCCCTCTTCAGCAGCTGGAGGTGAAAACAGCCTTCTAGTGTCAAAGTCTGCACGGACATTGAGCTGCACAGCCGAGCTCAAACATCCAAGTGAAGCAACAATAGTGGTGGAAAGTAAGTACTTAAGTACAATTTTGAGATATTATTATTGGTGAAGAATATTACTTCTATCTATCCCTTTGTGAAATGCATAAGCTACATGCCAGTAGGCCTAGCCTCTATAAAGGAATTCAAATTAAAGTCCACCTTTACCAGCTGTAATATTGAAGTGATGTAAACATTTAACCATTAATAATAATAATAATAATAATTAAAATTATATTATATAATATGCATTCTTCTGAAATGGGATATTTTGTGTAATAGTACTTATTATTTTTGGTACTTTAAGCATATATTCTGACTAATACTTTTGTACTTTTACTTTTGAATACTAAACTTTTGAACATTGAATGCAGGACTGTTACTTGCATTTCTGCACTGTGGTATTACTACTTTTACTTTATGTCTGGGAAGGTTCTCTGTCATCCAGGTCATAGTTATCCAAAGAAGGTTAAAGTCAAGGGCAACTGGACTTGGTTGAAGATACTAGAAGACGTTTCGTCCCCCATCAAAGAGACTGCTTCAGTTTTGAAATGACTAGTAGGGAAACTATCAATTTAACCGCTGGTTAGTGATTTAAACCTTCTTTGGATACTTTTACTGTAGTGAAGTAGGCTACTTCTTTCACCGCTGAGTAACAATAAGCAAAACAACATTTTGGAGGAGGGCTTAAAACTACATGGGATACATCGCTAGAAAAACACAGGGACTCTTTCACAGCTGCTGTTAATAAGACTAATGTGGTTCCTAAGGTTGAGCGAAACACCAGGATCTTGGAAAATTTCTTCAAGTTGGAAGAGCTAATGCAGCTCCAGTCTGCAGGAAAACATTGACATTATCGTTAAAAGGTGGAAGAGCACATCCCCAGACGCCCTACGGTAGGCTAATAATGACAATAAGAAGGCTACGATTAACATCATTGTCATTAGCTACCTGTCTCCTTCCCAGGCGGCGGACTGTTTGAATGCAGAGCAGACGGCGACGACAGACTCAGTTGGGTCACTCGCAAAGCTCCTTTAACGCTGAACTCAAGCGTGTAGTCCGCCAGCCCAAACCCAAGTCACCCAAACATCTGACTCAGGAGTGGTAAAGGTACCCCCTACTTCTGAAACGCGGACACTTCCTCTCTACATGCAGCCTGGACTGTAAGTTTCAGAGTTGAGAGCTATCACTCTGCAGCTGTTTCCGGGTACTAAATAAGCCATTACCAATACAGGCGGGAAACCCAGCTGGACGTGTTTCCGCTTTGTAACTCCAGTGTTATTCAAATAGGACTTTTATTAACGTGGAAAATATTTTGATATTTCCTTATACGAAAAGCAAAGATGTCCTACTAATAACATTAATGATGGCTCTCTTATATCCTTGGGTCCCAGTCAGTTGTGACAGTGTGTGACACAATACTAGCATTGATCATTTGAACACATGTGCTTTTTCCAAACGTTACATGTCATATGTTTTCTGTGTAAAATGTAGGCTATATTAAAAAAATAAATACACTTCGTTGCCAGTTTATTAGGTACACCTAGATAAAATAAACACTGTCTAACAGTTGTAGACTTCTCCCTTTATGAAGGTTATAATGTTAAGTTTTTGTTGAAACTGATTTACAGAGGCTTCAGTTTGTGGTGCTGTTGAATTGTAATACACATTTTGCAGAGATGTGTTTCTGTTAATTAGCCTACCCTCATGGATATAAATGGGAAGGGCAAAATAATAGAAACACCAGACAGCTAAAAAAAAAAAAAAAACTAAAAAAGCAAGCAAAAAAATGATTTATTAGTATTAGTTGTGTTGGATAGCATTTGTTGTAGCAAGGTGTACCTAATACACTGGCAACTGAGTGTGTATGCATGTAATAAATTGGACAAAACTAAACGGCTGTCTTATTTCTGGATGTTTTACCTCTACTTGAGAAAGAAGACATTCGGTGAAAACCCTCTTTTGGGTTAGTTTAGTTAGTTTATAGCATACTCCAGATTTAAGGTGTCCGTGTTTTCTTCAGCAAGTTTAATCAGGGATTGTTCTTACTTTGAAACTTAATTCCCTTACTGCTGCTTATGAAGACACAAATGGGATTATGACGGTGTTTAGCTAATTTTTACACGTCATGCACAGGGTATTAGACTGTATGTAAATACCCATTCATGCAGGCCAGTGCTGTTAAGTTTAGAAGACATCCTTCCAGTCATTCAAGGCTTTGTCAACTACAATGTGCAGAGACCAAACAGCGAGGCCAGGTCACTTTAGTTCTTAACAGAAACACATCAGATCATCAAAAGATAGAAATATCCATATAGCAACATAACTTAATTAACATAACATAATTTGAATATGAAGTTTACAGATTACACCAATGCTTTGCATTTGTTTAATAATTTTGCCCCAGCAACACCTGATAAATGTGTGGCCCTTGAGGTTCTGAGACCCAGGAGCATTGCTTGGTTGGTAATTCAGCCTTCTCTACATTAATAAATTTCTCTTTCTTTAATCTTTTTGCTATTCCCATGAAAATGTAATCAATTCTATGCATTGAAGAGTGTCTTTTATTCTAGTCTTTTATTTTTTTAAACTATGACGTATCTTTATCAAAGAGATGATCTTTGATTCACGGTGTAAAAAGCTGCATGCACGTCACTTCCTCTTTCAGGGAGGAGGTTGTTTTGGGGGTATTTTGATCAGTGTCTTCTCCCGCCAAAGCTACAGTCCATACAACAAAAAAAACCCTGATCTTTTCAGTTCTGTTCCCACGTGAATTGCTAAGTGGTGCACAAACAGGATGGGTTATTTCTCTTCAAAACATCGAATCATTTCTGAATGAAAAAAAGAAAAAAAACGTGTTTGTGTGTGAACTAAAACATTGAACAACAAAACTATTGTAAGACAGCAAATGGGAAGCAATGTTATCTGTCAACCCAATTGTCCACAATAACTACTTCTGTTCTTGCATGCGTATGGATTGTGACTGCAGCCAGCAGCTGGAGCTCCAGCCAGCAGGCAGTGTACCTCTATGTGTGTGTGTGTGTGTGTGTGTGTGTGTGTGTGTGTGTGTGTGTGTTTTATGGGTGGAGACTGAGGTCCTCCTCCAAAATATAGTCAGACAACACAAATCTGCTTAACCACCAGCAGCAACACCGTTGCAGGCCCTGGGAAGCTGAAAATCACCTTGCTCATATAGTTTGAAGTCCCGCACCGCACTTTGGACCAGTCTGCAAAGCAAGGTGAGTGCTACATGAGCTAGTTCGGGATTCAGGTCGGACAATGACAGTCAGCCATGAGAACTTCTGGAGAACCGCTAGCGTTACTGATGATTAAAACAACAACGGAGCCATATTATCTTGCAAACCAGCTTCAAACCAAACTCCCTCGACCGTTAGGATCAGCGGGACCGATATGATAACGGTATATGTTTTTTTAATCGATCAATTTACGGTGATGTTTTGTGTTTCGGGGGTGACGTGTCCGTTTGGATGCCTCATCTAGAAGATTCAACAAACAAGCTTACTTATGGCGACTGAAGGCTTTAACAGCCCATAGGCGTGTTAGTTACAAGCACAACACTTTCTGCCTTTTCTGTTTGTTTTTAAAATGAGAAGGCAACAATTTTGTCAAGTTAAGCGGTGCGGCAATGCGACATGTTTTATCTTTTTAAGCGAGCATCCGCGGCTGTCGTTTTTAACTGCCTGTAGGTTAACGTTAGCTTCTGTTGACGTTAACGTACGCCTTCCACGTAACGACGGCTGTTAGCTTTGACATTGTACGTTAGGCCTTTAGCCAGCTAACGTTACTCCCTGGTAGTATCATTAAACCAACCAGGAAACACAGGGTGATCATGTTTACCCATCAGATAATAGCCACGACAGCTGCCAAAAGCATAACGTTACTGTTAAGTAATACGATGTTCCCCTTGTTCATCTTTAACGTAATAAACGCTGTGACTGCATGGTGCTTTCTTCTGAGCAGATTTCATAACTTCTTGACAAGGCATCATTGAGTTCCCAAAACAAAAAAAAAAATGACATTTCAAGTAACTAAGTCAAAGCAGTATGCAACGAGGCCTTCACTTTAAAACCCCAGACAGAAAGCTAAATAACGTTAATGTGGGTATCAGCTTTATGTGATCATATATGTCGTTAAAATGTAGAGTTTGCAACTGTCAGCTTATGCCATTGTTTATTACCGTTTTCCCAAATTTGTTTTACGTTTAGAAATTAATCTTGTCTGCTAGTTTTAACCAGCTGCACAGCTCTGTGAGACTGTGAACAGGTCTGCCTTGTTTTAGGACCAGCAGCACACCCTAAGCAAGCTCCTTTATTTTCTTTACACACTGTGTGCATAGCTCCTTCTGAGAAAGTCTTAACTAAATATCAAGAGTAAGGATCCTTACTCTTCACATTTAGTTATGTTTTTTTTTTGTACATGGTCACATAGAAAACATTTAGTACTTTTAATAATAATAATACAAATTTTAGTGTGTGTGTGTGTGTGTGTGTCTGTAGCCTTGTCACAATCAGTGTTGTTAGAGCATCTGGTATATGCACCAGGTTGAACAAAGTGAACAAGGTATTAATCTCTGTGAAATACAAATATTAAGGAATAATTCTAGACAAATCTGCAAAAACAAACACAGGCACAGATCTGTAACATGGTTTACAGCACAGAGTCTACATTATTAGAGTCTACATTATTAGAGCCAGGGGAGGTGGGGGGGCTTTCCAGGGAGCAGAATTAATGTTAAACAGAAGCTGTTTTCCTGTAGTTCACTGTAATTGTGTTCTTTATTTTCCCAGAGAGATGAGTCAGGAGGAGCAGGTGCCTGAGGACATGCCTGCATACCTCAAAGATGAGCCAGGAGCTACAGGTAAGTTTATTTGCGAAGGGCCTGTGACAGTGAGACATTTGTTTTATTCAGCATGTATTGATGATCAATACAATGAACAATACTTGTCATTTGCAGCCCTACATGACTGATACGGGCTTTTTGAAACACTGTTTTTTGATACATTCTACTATTTCTATTTAGATAATGGTGTATTGCAATAGCCCATGCGTGCATCTTTACAAAGTAAAGACGAAAAGGACGACACCATTATTTAATTTTTTTTAAATTAAGCACTTTCATAATCAAATAATCTTTTAAGTCATTCATCAAGCAAAAATACTAAAATTTCAAATGTGAGGATTAATTTTATTTGATTTTTTCTCTGTTTTAGATCATTTTAAATTGAATATCTGGGTTTTTTACTGTTGGTTGTACGAAACAAGTGATTTGAGCTCTGGGAAATTTTGGTGGACATTTTTCACTGGCATTTCATAGACTAAACCATTATTCAATTAATAATAAAAAAAAGAACTAACTGATTAATCGATAATGACTATAATCAGCTAAAGTGTCGTGGACAATCTTGCAGAATCTTTTGTATCACGGTAACAGGTTACTATGGGTGACATTTATAATCTGAAAAGGCCTGTGTAGATGCAGAATGTTTGAAGTAGAGCTGAAATGATAAGTTGATTCATCAATTAGTCGATATACAGAAAATGAGACAGTGACTGTTATATAATAAAATATATTGATTGCTTGAGTTAAAAGAAGCCAAACTGTATGGTTCCATCTTAATTGTGTGAATGTATTACATTACAGTAAACGTAATTTAGCTATTTGAATATCTGTGGTGGGCATTTTTTTCTTTTCTGATGTTTATATCAGAGATGCTTACAAGTCTTTGAGCTAGAGTCCAAGTTAAGTCTCAAGTCACTAGTGGTTATAACGAATGTTGTATCACCTGCTGCGTTCAATCCAGGCTGCTTATAAAACTGTGTAGCTATAATGAATTCTGTAACTGTAACCAGTTTTTCACTTACAGAGCACAACCATGTAATGTGCAGTGCAATTAATGACAGCTTATAAAATACTGTAAGTCAACACATACCCCAGACTCTCAAACCCAGTGTAACGTTATCTAAATAAAACTGTAACATTACATCAACAATAAACTTATAACCTGTTTGCAGCCGACGTTAATTAACGTGATGGCATCCAGCGGGATGTAAATGATTACATTAATCGACCACCACAAGTTTGCCAAGTAAAAAAATGCTCATTCATCTTTTCATAACAAACGACAGTCGGAGTAAACCTCCCGTAGGTCGTAGCTAAAGCAAGAAGCAAGCTAATGTTAGATGGCCAATGCTGAGCTAAACATATTTACTAACCTCAGGTTAGTAACGCCTTTTGCGTTCAGCGCTTCCTTGTTTGGGCCTTGTTGTAGGAAGTTTTAAAGCCAAAGTATATGATTAATGGCACAACAGCTGCTGGTGTTTGTTGTCCTCTCTCACGTTTGGCTGCGCGCAGCCGATACTACGTGTTAGGTAGGCAGGTTATAGGTAATGGAGAGAGGGGAATAATAACAGCAAGCTCAATAGACATTTCCTAAAAATAAACATTGTTCACGAGCCCCGCACCTCGAGTCCAAGTCGAGTCTGAAGTCACTCTGTGTGCGACTTAAGTTGGACTCGAATCCGAGTCTCAAACTCGAGTCCCCGTCTCTGGTTTATATACCAAACAAGCAATGGATTCATTTAGAAAATTATTGGCAGGTTAATTGATAATGTAAATAATCGTTCATTGAAGCTTTTGTTTGGAGGTCTTCCGTCCTCTTATTATTTGGCAGTGACATGTTGAATCTTAAAATGTTTGCTTTGGTTGTTTTAAATCAGAGGACAACGAAAAGGACCACCCTCAGACCCAGCCGGGCATGTTCGGCAGGTTGGCAGGGGGCTTGTACGGCGCCACCAAGGGAGCTTTGGGAGCGACGGTGGGCGGTGTGACCTGGATAGGAGGAAAGAGTCTGGACCTCACCAAGACTGCGGTCAGCTCTGTAGCCGCAGTTCCTGCGATGGGAGTGGGTCTGGTTAAAGGAGGAGTGTGTGCTGTAGCTGGAGGAGTGACTGCTGTTGGCTCTGCAGTGGTCAGCAAAGTTCCCATAGGAGGAGGCAAAAAGAAGGACAAGTCTGACTGAGGGAGAGAAGAGTGAACTCACAGCTGAGGTGTATGGCTCGCACTTTGTTTGCCTGTTTTAGCATTCATGAGCAGGAAAAGAGCAACAGAGGACTCAAAGATTTAGTGTACACATTTTGGTGAGGGGGGAGGAGGGGGTCTGTGCTTTGTTTTTGTCTTTTAGCTTCTGTTTTTGTGATTGATGGTAAAACCACATTCATACGATTATGTGGCAAGGACCTACAAAGCAAGAACTAACTAAGACTCTCCTGCTCTGCTGTTAAAGGAAAACACCAAACTATTGTCACCAGTGCCTGAAATTGTTCAAATAAAATGTCCATGTTGTATTTTTGATAATAAGCCACAACACTGTCACTGCAAACTGTTGTATTGGCGACATCAGTTAATTTACACAGCAGAGGAGAAAAGATCAGTGTAAATGCACTTAAATTTCACTTGCAGGACAATCGTTGATCAGTGATGATCTTTAACTGACAAGTTTGTTAGTTATGTACATTAAATCACCTTTCTGTACAGTTAATCACCTTTTGTTCACGATGAACAAATGTGATGTCTGATCAAAGATGTGATTTTAAAAGGTACAGTCCAGTTTAATATCTAAGCCATCTGATGGCTGTGGACTGGATATTTCACTGGTGAATTTTTGTGACATTTTCAGTTTTCCTCTAAATTCACATTGCCCTCTGGTGGTGGTTTTCTCAGCTCAGTGGAAGGCAAGTTGTACTTTCAAAATCACATTATTCCAATAAATGTTGTGTCACAATATAAAAGGTAGAATATTTTGATTGCAATAAACTTTATTTCCAGTTATAGTGTTACCAGATTCACTATGACCATGCCAGTTGAGCCTAAGTTCATTGAATGACATTTTATACATTACACTTATTTTGACCAACTATATATAGATATTGTGACATGTTGGTTATGTCGCTGTCAAATCAAAGTATATTAACATCTTGTAAAAATAAAACTGACACAAAAGCTTCATAATGTAATAAATCTGTCTGACTGAACCAAAGCATTAGACAGTTAAGTTCTAAACATTTCCTTAACACTCCTATGTCGCTTAGGGTCACTGTTTACTATTGTAGGAATCTGATGGCTGGATTTCTTGACATTAAATTTCAAGCGTCAAGTACATTTTTTTAAGCTGCCAATCCTGTAAGAGTACATTCAATAAAAAGTCCTTTTTGTAAATCAACCTTTAATTGTAAAATGCCTTTGTATGATGCATGAAGTTTTCATAACAATGAGAATTTATTGAAACAGCAATTATATTCAGAAATTGTTGAAATAAAACATGCTGAAGGTTGTGTTTATATTGTGGTCCATCAGTTACATAAATCTGTGTACAAATATTGTTCAGATATTTCTACACAGGTTTAATTTCAGAAGCTGATCTATATCTTTCAAGGTCTATTCCAAGATTTGTAAATTCTCTTTTTCTTGGTTGTAAAATAACCTCCTCTATTATAGAAAATAATTTAACTTGATATTTCTGCACAACAAAGTGGCCTTGGAATAACAGTCATTTGTTATCAAATGATTTAATTGACTATTTCATTAAATAAAGATGTGCATAGTTGATAAATTTGTGATGCTGTCTTCAGTACAGCATTCATTTAAAATTGTGAAGTACAAATTGTTTAAATGGAGCCCCATTGTTGTATGCAATGGTTAACAAAATAAATACAATTAAAACTGCAAAAATAAGGATCTGGCCATTTTACAATCTCTAACAAGAACAAGCTTCATCCTAAAATGTTTGGATTCCATTTGTACACTGTATAAACATGGCAAATAGACAGATTGGTAGTTGATCTTGGCTTATCAGTGATATTTTTTGTGTCAGCCAAAAACTAACAAGAAATGCAGTATGGCTACAGAGACATTTTATAATAGCTCAGAAATGGTGTCTCCTTTGCAATGTTTGTCCACCATAGGACACTGACAAGTTTACTTTCAACTCTAAACTCTACTCTCTGTCCATATCTTGGTCAAAATTCTTTAAAAAACAAATATAATTGATAATAATGATTTTTTATTGTAAATGATTAATGTAAATGACTACCTGATGTATCATGGTTCACGCCTCTCCACCATGGGAGCCTGAGTCTTAGCTGCTCGGTACCCAGGCTTTGGAACACACTACCCCCTCCAATTGAGTGTAACTGAGTTACATTGTGCACAAAACTCCTCAAAAACAAGTTTGGGATCTGTCTTTTCACTTGAGTTCAACCTCCATGTAAACAGGGTCCTCAGTACTTTGGTCAAAGGATGGTCTGTCATTGTATAGAAAGAGCTATATAGGCTGCATCCACTGTGAGAGTGGAGATACCAGTCAGTATGACAGCCACCATTATGAAATGATCTACAAACAAAGCAAGGCTGCCAAGCGGACACACACTTACCTGCATTACAACCCTTTGTATGGCATTGTCCGTTAGCCAACCTCAGTTGTACTGTGATTGGTCCTAGAGCAGCAACTGGTAGAGGAGGATCTTGTAATGGTAATACTTGTGCAACCACAGTTTCAACAGAAGTGCTGATGTACCTACACTGGAAGATCAAACTTAATAGAGAAAACAGTTTTGGGCGATAGTACAAAAAGGTGACAAATTAGACAGACACACGTGAAACAGAAGGTGAAACGAAATAATTAGACAATAACACAAAACAGTAAGACATGAACAGAGGTTAATATTATATTATTATAGATTTTTAGTTAATTAATTTGTTAGTGGGAGGAACTACCTATAGACATTTCTATAGATGTATACATGTTTATGTGGTTGTGTGCATGTATGAATAAGTGTTGTGCAAATGTGTCGTGTATTCCTAAGTTTGATCAGAGATAAATCTAAAAAAGAAATGTTTGAAAAAAATATATGTGTGCACAATCATGCATATATGTACTGCATATAATACAAATTATAGTACAGTAACAGCAACTTGGGTTTTGCAGAACTTCAGCGCAGCTGTGGGGGTCTAGCAAGGCCCACCCTTTTCTTTCTCCTTGTGTTTCCTTGTATTCCTTGTACTTGCAATATGTTCCTTGGTCAGAACTAATGCTTAACGCTCTGATGCTGTTACACTAAAGAAAATTATCACCCACTCATAGTGGCTGTCCCTGGTAATGGATCCAAGAGGCCCAACTTCCACTTCACATGAGGAGAACATCCTGTTCTGATAGACTTTAACACCAGGCCCCTCTTCTGTTACATTCTTTGTGATTAAAAACCTCACCTCTGAGGCCAAATAACCACCAATCCCAACTTTGTACCTTTTCAATTGCCACTTAAAAGCTTCAGCTGTGTATTTTGTAATGTTATTACATAGTTCAGGTAGATTAAAAGCCTTTTGGCAAGTTCACAAGACTAGTTGTATGGGTAGGATGAGGAGATGCAACACGTGTGTCCTATTAGATCAGATTACTGGGTTGTGTTGGACAATTTGACATCAAAGTACTTATTGAGCAACATTTGGGTCACAAAAACCTTTATTAAAGGTCTTTGCGGCCTCAGGCTGTATTTGTTACCAAATGTTTGTTTTGCTAGTGTACAATGATAAACATATTGATCTTTTCTCTGAATCTTTAACAAAGTCGGCCTTTATACGCACTTTAACAAACTAGGTCTGTCTATCTGTTTGCTTTGCTGTTGTGTAGCCAATTATTAACATGCATTTATACCATTATTAAAACTCACCATGTTGCAGCTTCCTAAACTCCACTGCAAGACAAACATGCTGTAAAAGTTAATGTCAGCAAAAATATGACTGTAAGCCAAGGAAGACTTTTCTAGATATGAATCTATACAGCATTGCATAATTATTGTAGCTAGGGAGGTAACAGATGAAAAAGGTAAAAGGTCTTTAATTGTCTATTTATAATAAATTGTACAATGGGTAATAACAATAGTGTGATGTTTTGTAAATACTCTGAACACATGACTGTGTAGTTCTGATTTATGGAATGATATTTGTGCATGATGAGACATTTTGAGCACAGAAAACTATTTTTTGTTCAAAGTATTTTTAGGTTACTTAATACAATTAGAAAAATTTCAACAAAATCCTACCTCACAAGTAATTCTAACCTATTACACATTTACAATATGACATATCAAAACATAAATTCAATGGTGTTTATGATAAAAGATTTTAAACACACAGAAGAAGAACACAACTAAGGTAACTGGTGTATTTTATCTAATGTAGGTTGCAACATGTCCTCAGAAAGTTCTACATCTAGTTCTTCTTCCCACTGTCTCTTTAAACTTGTCAGGGGTTCTAAATTGTAAGAATTAAGTAAAGTGTAAATTTTGCTGATAATCTCTTTAGGGTGGGTAGCTGAGCTCCAAAACAGATTCAAGGAGATAATTTTTTTTTACTTATTTAAAAGAGCAATGAACTAAACATGATCTATTTAGCTGCAGGATTAATAGGCATTAGTGCACATTTTACTACCACATGCAAAATAAATTATTATGCTATGAATAATTTAATGTGTGCACACAAAAATCTCTTCCGTGCTCAATACGTTTGCCATTTCCACATAAGTCCAAAATAATAACCCCCCTCACTTTGTTTTACTCATAATCCCGCTTTCAAAATCTTCTTTTCACTCTCAAATTTGCCTGCACACTTGGGCAATCTGATACAGTGTTACAGCGTGCCACATTTTCAAGTAATCTGAAAACTGGATTATGGTTCTGATTGGCTGTTTAGTAGGCTGATTATCTGTCGCCAGGGAAGTAGGAAAACACTGGAAGTAGGCACCAAGCTGACAGGAACAGCGCTAGTCTGTGAGGCATAGTGGCCTGATTCTGTACTGCAGGATCAAATGATGCACACTTGCCAATTCACCCGGAAATTACTCTTTGTATTATCAGGATATGATGTTTTGAAAAAGTTTTGAAAAGTTAAAGAGCTGAGTCAGTAAATTATTTTTATGCCAGTGATGTGTGAATGGAGCCAGACGTCAAACCACTTAGCCAGAGAAGGACTCTATTACGCATGCTCAATGGACCCAGAGAGCATCTGTCATTTGGATGAATGGCTGCCATCTTCACATAAGTGGTTTACCGTAATTTCGTTACTAATTGACAGTTTGCTAAAAGCTTGTGCTGACTACACGACTTTCAGCGTTGGACGATGGCCGTGCCATCCACACTACACAACTTGCGGTCTTGAGACAGGAGTCTTGAAGTCGTTGTGGTATTCACACTACGTGACTGATTGGTGACAGGAGGTCACACACTACATGAGCTGACAGCGGCTGTAAACCACGTTTTGTCATGAAAACACGTGAAATTACGCAAACATACATATGAAACGGCTGTTGTTTGTTATTATAAAGATAGCAATTATAAAGACAAAGAATATGGGTGAAAGAATGGATTAGCACACGCAGGTAGCCGGGATAGTCTGAGCTACAGAGAGAGGTGGAGGTGAGTAAAAAGTGTTTTGCAGAGAAAAAGTAGCTGCCTGCTCTGCCAGATGCCTGCTCTCATTGGCTGGATGTGGATGTCGAGTCGGCCGACTCTTCCAGATATTTGGCATGCTAGATATCTGGCAGATGTCGGCGATGTGTGTGGGGTGGCCATTCTGATGCGTCGTTGAGTAGTACACACATAACAACTGGCGACCACTGATTGATCGCTGATTTACTCCCCATCACTGCTGACGTACTGCGGTAAGCGTGTCGACTCATTTCTGTTTCCGGTGCTTGTGTGTTGGTACCGAGTTGTGCTGCTCTCGCTAAATACCAGTTACATTTGTTAGATTACAGCAGCCAACTGTCCGCTAAACACTTATTCTTTACAGTAATTTTGCTTAAGCACTCACAGTTCTTTCCATCTTTTAGTGACTGCTGTTCAATCTCATAGTTGCTCTAAAGTTTTGGTAGCTGACGCTACAGTACTTTAGCTTAGTCGTTAGCGACTTTAGCTTAGCAGCTAGTGATGGCTTCTCCTTCTCCCTCTCTCTCTCCCCCACTTTCTCCTGCTCGGTGTGTCAGATGTTCAGTTACTCCTCTGCCTCCTTTAGCGGTAATGGTACATGTAATAAGTGTAGTTTATTTATAGACATGGAGGCGAGGCTCAGTGATTGGGGTGACTGTCCGAAGGAGGAATAGTCGTAAGCATTCAAAGTCCACGGGGCACCATAAACCTGTTCACGTCTCTAACAGATTTTCCCCACTCAGCGACACACCCGCTGAGAAACCAACTCTGATCATTGGCAGCTCCATTTTGAGAAACGTGAAGTTAGCGAAGCCAGCGGCCATAGTTAAGTGCATCCCTGGGGCCAGAGCGGGCGA